TAAAATTGATGCATGTTTATTTTTAGCATTGTGTTATTGCCTCTGCTGTTAATAAATGAACAAATGGCTCTCTGGAGGAACAGCTAAAACACTTGCTTATTTTCAGAATACTAGAGGTATATTTTTATTTATAACTGGATAGACTATATTAATTAACTTTATAGAACCAACATGATTGTATAATTTACAGCCTTTGTATTTTTATAATTTACATCTTTTGCATATATTAAGTGTAGTTAAAAGGTATTTCATTGATTGTTCTCCATAATCTTTACTTTTTGAAAAGTACGTGAAAAGTTGATGAATTGACAGCAATAATATACCAAATGCCTTATACCTGGGAAATGTAAATATACGTATTATTCACCACGTATTTTTGTTACACACATTTTTCATCGTCACGTAACTTGGTCCTGAGTTTGAAATATCATCCTTTTTTCTTTTATTCATTTCTTTTTATTTATTTCTCTTTTTTATCTAAAAAAAGTTCTAACTTATTCTAAGTTTGAATAATCTTCCAGGTTTATCAAAGTATTCATTCTTACTCGTAATCATGTAACTGTATTTTATGATCACAGTTGGTTGATTGGTTTTTAGTTGTTCTAATACAGTTCTAAAAGTACACCAATGATCATGATTTAAAATCTAACAGATTTAACTTCTGATTTACCAAGGAAACTACCATATGGTATTCACCTTCAGATTCAGAGTGCAGGGGTGGGGTCGGATTCTGAGGGAGAAGGGAAATGATTATCCGAAGCAGTGTAGTTGACTCGTAGAAAACGAATCTCAATGAAGTTTATACAAGTTAGAATCCTGGTTTGCAAACAACAAAAAACGATTGTGCTTAACTTAAGCATGAGAAGAATTTACCTCAAGAATATAGGTAGGCAACTCCCAGAATTGACAGAAAGGCACGAGAACCACTCTTGGAAAACAGGTGGAAGCCGAAGGAAGCTAGCTGATCAAAGCTGTAGCCGGGTTATGACTCAGGAAGAGCTGGAAGTTTGTGTGCATTTCTGCTGGCAGTGATGCGTCTGAAAACTGGGTTCCAGACACTCTGCTTATTTGCACCACACTCCCAATTCAAAGTCTGATGAGCTTGTGCAAGTGACCAAGGTTAGTCTTGGGCCAGCACTCAGGCTGTCAGCCACCAAAGACAGCCAGTGTGTCTGACTCTCAGCAGCCCCAGTAGATGATGAGACCGTTTCTCCTACAGAATTCACCAAACACGTGAATGGGGTTGATGACTGAGCACCAAATAGCAAAACATATCAGAAGTCTACCATAGTCCATCTCTTTGTCTTCCCAACATCTACAAATGTCATATTTGCTCATTTTTATTTTTTTATTTTTTTTGCAATAATACAACTATTTTATTAAATATATGAATGTACTTATTTTGTTCAAAACACAGTAACACTTCTTCCTCTCTGCCCCACGAGGCTGCCACTCTAGAACGCCACGTTTATAAAAACACTTTTGGCAGCAATCATGACAAGGTGTAAGTGCAGTTCTGAAAGTAATACCACAAAACCAAAGTGGAGAACAAAACAGGCAGAGGTTGGTGGGCTTCTTGGCTAGCTCTCTGCTGGTGGGCCCTAGTTCAGTTCAACTTCTCTCAACAGGAAACAATTTAGGAATAGCAACTCCTGAGGATTATTTAAGTCAGGCTGCCCAACTCTTGGCAGCATTCCTCTTCCAATTCCATCTATTCTAATTTGTAATTTCTTTAAGAAATTCTGCCCTGGTTTACATTCCTGTCAGTTGCTCATATCCATTTGAGCTTCAAAAAACAGAAGAGCAGTAAATTTCAAAAGGATGTCAATTGAGACATTTTATAGATAAAACCTACTTCCTTGAAGTCAACTGGCCAGTCATGCACAGCTGGAGATAACAGGTTGCAAAAACAGGCCCAGCTGGAAAACATCTTGTGTACCATTAAATCCAGTTATTCTGCATCTGTGGATTTAAAATGATCAACATCGACAGTGGAATAGATGTGTCCTTCGTTGCTTAGAAAATCTACAGCTTGCTTGATTGAGGCTACACTCATGTGTTGGAGCTGGTTCTTGAGATCCTGAAAGTTCAATCCTTCAGGTCTTGAGCAAACCTTAATCAAATTCAGCACCTGGTTTTGGGTCACAGTGAGGCCATTCGCTGACATGAAGCTTTTCCCACCAAAGTTCCCTGCTTCACCCATTCCTGGATTGCTGGTAGGTGCTCTCCCTGCTAAGGGCTGACTGTTAGACTTGCTGAGCATCATGTGCGCATTGACTACTTCCAGAATATGTGGTGAACTCATTCATATCCTCCAAGGCCATGATTTTAAAGGCTACCAGGCTTTTTTGTTCTGAAAAGATCTCAGATGACCAGGCACTTTCACATATGTTTCTGGAGGAACCACAGTGTTTTCACCACTGGCATCATCTGTGTCAACCCACTAGCGAACATTCATGGGTGTGGCTGTCATGTCATCTATTTTGTAAACGATGTTGGTTGCAGCCTTCTCCACATGTCTGATTATCCCCACAATAGTGACCTGTGAAATCTCAGCATTCCCAGTTTTGAACACTTCATCAACTAGAGCAGCAGAAAGCAGCTGAGGGGTGGTACAGGGCACAATGTGCTGAGCTCGGGTTCTAGATTTCTTTTCAGCCTGAGAAGGTGTTGGCGATCCAAAGCCCCCTGCAGAATGCGTGTAGCTGCCCAGTCCCCTGAAGGAGCTGCTGCTATAGCTTTCAAATCCACTATTCCACATCTTGGTCACGATTCCCTCAGGAAGGAGTTCCAGAAGATCCCGGTCTGGTGGGTTCGCCAACCCCCTCAGAACCCTGTTACGGCCACTGCACTCTGTCTGTTTTTCGCTGGCACCATATTTACTCATTTTTAAAAATGCTTCCTCCAAACATACGACTATTATCCCCCATCCACTTTCAAGTCCTGGATCTCGGTGTTTTGTCCATTTCTCCTCTGGTTTTGTAATGATCTTTTCTCACGAGTTCACAACCCACAGACAAAATGGTGATTTCACCACCATCACCTCTACGTACAACAATAGTACTGTATAAGCACAAGCAGGAACCAATGAGGAAGAAAATACCGTGAGAGCCATGTTTTGCAAATTTCCTTGGTGAACTCTAGGGCCGGTTACAGACCAATCAACTCAGAATCTCCAGGACAGGATATTGATAGCAGCATGTTTTATGTCCCAAAGCTCTCTGATTGAAAAAAATTTTAAAAGCCTATGGTAAATACAGCCCTCAGTTCTGCCACTGGTCATGAGGCTAGATGGTTATGACTTGTCGCCACTGCCACTTAATCCCTGTTTCCTTTGTGTTCGACCAGCATCTTAGCTGATCAGATTTCTTTACCTCACGTGTGAACCAAGGATTGGAGGCTTGGGTGGTCTTGCCTGTGTATGGTTGCAGTAGTCTTTGCTCAATTTTTACAGTTTATCATGATATTGTGAGGAGGTACCCCAGGACCCCAAGTTCTAGTCACAGTGCTTTCCCTGCTCCCTCTTCCCCCAAGTTCATCAGGGCTCATCACTACAGCTAGACCCATAACCACTTTTTCTAATTCCTCACCTAGGGCAATGAACTAAAAATCTCCAGGTGGCAATTCCAGCTTCCAATTCAGAGAAAACTTTGTATCATCCCCTTGTGCCCCACTCTGGGTACAAAAATTGGTACCAAAAGAACCTGAAATCATGGATATGGATGACAAAAGCAGTGAAGCGTCTGAGATTTTATCTACTTGTAGCTCTGCTTGTGCAGTTTCATGGATGCATGGAGACAGGAGACTCCTGGGTCAGAGGCAAGAGACTTTATTACAGCAAAGCAATAGCAGCCAAAGTGTCAGCATATTTGCACCAGTTCCCAGAGCCCCGATTCCCATAGCAATGCTGAGTGCCAGGTGACACTTGTACACATGACTCAGGGCCAACCCTTTTGGGTTGAATTACAGGAGAAGAATCCAGGTCCAAGAGCCAAGCAGTATTTGAACAAGCAGAAAACAAGCAGCAAACAAGCCAGCTCATTCCCCCAGGAGAGCAGCAGTTAAATGGTGCTGATGCCTTGACCTCCTAAGATGTCCATATGTCTAGCTACAGTCTCTGCTCAGTATTTGGAAATGAGTTGCAGTTGGCACACTCAGCAATAATATGCAGGGATGCTCAGGACCCAGGGCAGACCATCTATCCCCACGATGGAAAGCAAAATATGTGGGCAGGGTAACAACAAGTTGTCAATCCCTCTTCTAATCTTTGGACCCTGTTATTCTGTCAACAGAAGAGTTATCACTGGATACTGTTAACTCATTTGGAGTATATGTCAAATTCTTCAGGACAGCATCCCAAAGAATATTTTCTCACCTGGCTCCAAAAGTAAATCTTCAGCATAGCTGTCCTGTAAGACCAGTTGCTTCTGGTTGGATGGGATATGTGATAAGACTGGTTAATCCCACAGGCATCAGTACACACAGGCATCCGTGGGTTCTTTGGTAAGAAGCAATGTTGTATGGGATGATGATACATCAAGTGTATGGGAGATAAGGTATTCAGTACAACCACAGGTGAAGGGTATAAAAGAAGCACAAGTCAGGGAAAGCAATCCAAACCCAGAATAACTGTCTGCTCTTATAGAACAAATCACTACCTCCTTCATTATGGTAGGGTTCCCTTGTAATCAAACCTGCCACCTGGGCTGTACTGAACTACGTCAGGGGATCAGGTTGGTCACTGCAAGTAGTGGTGCTAGCCTGTCAGTCTTGGCAGGGAACAGACTATGTTAGACATAGTTGGATGTCTTTACGTTGCCATGGCTGCCTTGTTACTGGGGGCACTGAGCAACAGCTGTGGTGAGGGGAGGATGCTGACTGATGTCTACAGAGTGGGTCATTGCGGTAGGCAACATCTAAAAAGGCCTTCAATGATCCCCCCCCAGCTGATATTCACCCCTTGTGTAACCTCCACCCTTTGGGGTGGGCTGGATCTGCTGTTTCACTTCTAATGAGAGAATTCAGCAAAAGTCATGGGATGTCATTTCTAAGGTTAGATTACAGAAGGACGGTGGCTTCCATCTTGTTCCATCAGTCTCCCTTTTCTCTTGTTTGTTCATTCTGTGGAAGTTCAGCTGCCATGTTGTGAGATGATCTTTGGAGAAGCCCATGTAGCACGGAACTGAGGAAGGCTTTCAGTCCCAAAGCCCGGAAGGAACTAACTCCTGCCGAAAATCACATATGTGAGTTCAGAAGCAGAGCCTCCCTTCTCATGCCTCCATAGCGAGCCTGGAATTCTTGAAAAACCTAGAGCCAGAGGCATGCTGGCTCCTGGGTTCCTGACCCACAAAAACTGTGAGAGAATAGATGTTTACCGTTTTAAGCCACAAAATTTTGGTGTAATATGTTAGGCAGAAATAGATAACATATCATAATCTTGTTCTGATGAAAAACCCTTTGGCAATGGGAACTTTTTTTCTGAGCATTCGATGGGACCCAAAGGTTCTTATGCTTTGGGGTATTTGGACAGGTCCTATTCCAGAAAATGTTTCCAGACCTCTGCATGTTCCCAGTTCCTGCCCACTTGACTAAACCAGTGCCCATGAAGTGATGTAGATCTTTATCTCAAGCTATATCTCCTTCCAAAGAGTATAAGATAATGTTCTGCCCTCTAGGAGAATCTTTTCTTTCTGTTCCCTTAGGGCCTCTGTTTGTTAAATGGGACTCAAAACGCCAGAGAAGTCATTTGCCAACTGGTCAGTGTATTGAGCAATGTCCTCTGTAATCCAGCTTTGAATTTTGTCCTCAGTCAACTGACCACAAAGAATCATCACTAAGCTGTAGGTACTAAGGGTGAAAAGCCTGGATGCGAAGTACTGAGCTACCTGCTAATGAAAATTGCTTGAGTTCTGGCTCTGGCCGTGTTCTGTACAGACCACTTCCTCCTCATGAAAGGACTCCTTATCTAGGAGGGCCAGATAGCTCCCGGTTCACCATGAGAAACAGACTTGGTCAGACATCACCAGGGCCCGAAAGCTCGCCAAGAAGTTTCTTAAAAAAGAAAAAAGAAGGGAAAAAAAGGCAAAAATTCTAGGGCCTTCCACTGTGATTCTGCACAGACTTCCACAGGTAACGTGAAGCCACACGGGCTCTGAGCATCCTTGAAGCCGCCGGAATGTGAAGGCCAAGGGGCAGTGTCCCTCCACTGCAGCCTGGACCAGACGGAAAGGAAAGCCTTCTCTTGCCCTGCACCTCACTCAGCACCATCATCTTCAGGTCACTTGGTCAGTGGGTCATAAATGACGGACTAAGAATTCGCTGAACAAGCAGAGATTTTAAAAATTAAAGGGTGGGAGAATTGAGGGGAAAGACGCCTATTACAGGACAAAAAGAGCAGAAGCTGCCCGATCTGTGTACCATAACCAAGATCTGCCAAGAGTGAGAGAAGGAAGCGGATTCACACCCTCACCCAACTCCAGCCGCGATTTGGGGTTTTCATCAACACGGGGTTCAGGGTAGTTTGGGCTGTTCTTTGTGAGAAGCCTGAGCCGCTCCCCGCCCCTCTTTTTCCTGCTTCCAGCCAGGTCCAGAAGTGCAGATTCCCAGCGCGGGCTAAGGAGGTCCCAACCCTCCGGACGCAGGGAGGCCCCGCCCCACCACACTCAGGCCCCTCCCCGCCGGAACTGCGGAGGCCCCCGCCCCTCTCGGCCACACGTAGAC